ATATATAGGAGCAGATATAAGATCTTTTTCTGCTACCTTTCATTTTATTTGATTTGCATTGTTTTGTTGTATGTAATGTGTTTTTTTTAATGAAACGAATAAATACTAAAAAAAAAAAACAAGAGGCAATTCTGTGTGAATACATGTATGGTCTAAAGAGAGAGCTTTGAGCTGTACAGTACAGGTTTCTCTCTTCTCTATAATGTGTTTTTACCTTATATGTGGTGTGTGCATGTGTTTTATTTGGAGTGTGTGTGATGGATAATGATTCTCAGCTCTCTGGGGTGTCTGACGTCATGGTTTCCAAAAAGGTTTACATGCTCTCAGACACGGACAGCAGAAACACTGGAAGATGTTTTTACAAAGAAGGACATTTAAATGTGCACCTTGGTGTAAAATACGAGTGGTTAAAATCAAATGGATATCAGATTCTCTGCAGACTCTAAATTATGCTAATCCTCCTGCTCGAGTCTCAATTTTAAAACAAAGAGCTCACGCTTTGTTTTGACCCAAGGGCAGCAGGAGGTTTAAACAAAGAGAGATTTTAGCGATCCAGTCACAATGCTAGGTGACAGAAAAAGACATTGATCAGAGGGTTGCAGATTCAAAACCCTGCATTTCTGTTTAAAGTTTGCATGTTCTGTCCGGTTATACTCTGGACAGAGGCGGAGCCAGAGGGGTGGCTGGAGTGACAAGTGCCACCTCTGTCCCCTGATTGGTCAACCCAGGAGCCACCTGTAAATAGTTGACAAGTGGGTAAGGATCTTGGATTTTGTATTTGAATTTAGATTTTGTTAAAGATTGTTTTGCTTTATTTTATTTGTACGTGCCCCCTTACAAAAAACTTTGGCCACCCCTTGCAAAAGTCTAGCTCCGCCCCTGACTCTGGACCAAAAGCATGCATGTTAAGTTTCACGTATTTATTGCAAACCATAAAATTAAATATAAAGAGGCTAAGCTATAAGACTGAAATTTATCACGTGGTGCAGTTTGAAAAGTTTACTCCAACAGTTTTCCAGATATTTTGATATACATTTCTGAAATGCGGGTACACACTCAGTGTAAACAAAACATTTGGCTAAATCTACCTAACATATTTGGACTTCTCTGATATAAACGGTTCTTCCATGAACATTTCACCAGTTTCCTTGATATTTCACTAAATATGTTTAGTTGTTAGTTCTATTTATATCTTTCTCTGTGTGTGTGCGAAGGCCTGTCGACCTGTCTGGTGTGTACCCCACCTTTTGCCCAATGACACTGGAGAAAGAACCCAGCTCCTTGCAAACCTGATTAGTGAAATGATCTGAATTATACTGATTTAGTTTGATCTCAAGGTTTTATAACACCATGATGATTGGTACTCAATAAGCCGGACTTTCTGTCGATGACACTTTTTCTCTGCCAGATGTTCATCTGCTGATTTGTTTGACTGCAAATGAATCCTGTTTGTGTAGCTGATAGGTTAGCTGTGTAGCACCACCTTCAGGTTGTTCAGTATGATACTATTACCTTTCAAACATTTAAATAATAATAATAGAATACAATAATAGTTAATTTTCATTACATATTAATGGTTATTTTTACTGTTGATCCATTCATTTTCTTTTCCTAATTTTCCTGTCCAGCTCATGGAGAGCTCCAGCAGAGAGGCAGGAGACACCCTGGACAGGTCCATCTCAGGGACACATGGAGACAACCTTTCATGCTCTCACTCATACCAGGGACAATTTAGAATTACCAAATAACCTAACATGCATGTTTTTGATCTGTGAGAGGGAACTGGGGAAAACCCACATGTGCACGTAAAGAACGTGCAGACTCCGCCTAAGCAAGGTGGTSATGCAATCCTGCAATCTTCTCGCTGAGAGGCAAAAGCTCTGCCAAATGTCACCCTGTTTATTCATTTTACTTATTTTAGTTCATGTGTGCAAAACTGATAAAATAATGAGTGAAGTGTATGATGGAAAGTAGACCATATGTTGTGAATTTTTGAGCTAAAGTTGGACAAAATCAAAAATAAAGAATTTACCATGGAGTCCAAAGTTTTGAATTATTCATCTCATATTTCTCTTATCAATTAAAAATTMTCCTTGCATAAYATGTTATGATTGTGYATTTGGATTTCTTTGACGATTCCTTTTAACTGTCTGTTGTGCTGAAGTTGTTGTGATCAGTGCATTAAAGGAGGAGGAATTGTTCAAGCTCATGCTGGTTTTGCGGCTGATTTTGTTGTCTCGCGCGCCCTCTGGTGGCGTTGTTATTTAATTGCAGTCTGACGTTTCTTGCGTGAATAAACGTATAAAAGGTCTGTGGTTAAATGACCCAGGGGTGTGACACAGAGGGCTAGTAATTGTTAGACCGTTGTAACATAAAATTAAATCATGCTTTTCTCTAATTATTTTTTAAACAGCAATAATGAAAATTAAATTCTTAAGTAGATACAGATAACAAAAAAGCACCCCAAAAACCTTCAATCCTACTCATCATACATTCTTCTCCTCTACAATGAACACTAAAGATATCTTAAAAAGAATAAACAGAATTAAAAGAATATTAACAGTATGTTTTTAACAATTTTAAATATATAAAATAGAAACTGATCATAAGCAATAAAACACAGTACACTAAAATGTCAACATATTCTTGAAAAATAAAATCATATACCCACAATGTTCATTCTAGACAAGAAAATGTGATTGAGGTGGATGTCAGAGCATAAAAATATGAGTGGGGAAAATGACGTAATTTTAATAAAATTATGTTTACAGTATCTGAAATGCTGATGGTGCATGAGCAAAGAAAAAACCATTCGGGAGAACTGAAATCAGGGTTTTATTCAAATTCTAAATATTTGCCTTGCAAAGTCTCGAAGTATTATTTGAGCCATTGGCCTGCCATACCTAATTGTGGTCATTTCTGTTTGGGAACATGTCTATCAAACAAATCGTTCCAGTGTAATAATGCTCACATGTTATATAAACTACAAACATTTTTRTTCGATTTACTTGCAGATATTTATAAAGAAAACGACAGTTTTCACTGTAAATCAATAATTTGGCTTTTGTAAACTTCTTGGCGGGATGCGGAGCTCCGCCCACTCGTACGCGCACCGCTGCTGCGCAGAAACTGCGCAGGCGCTGATCGTTAACGCTGAGCTTGGTGTTGTAATTTGGTGTTTATGCTGTTTACATGATATAAAGATCTGCGGTGTTGATATCGAAAGCACACGAACCGTATTTTTTTTTTGTGCAAGGAAACAATGCCATCTTCTTTTTAATATGGAAAACAGGCTCTGAACGCATCCTGCTCTGTTTTAGTGGACGTTGATCGCTTTTGTTTGCAGAGGGTGAACGATAAAAATAATGATATTCTGCGATTAAAGGATGAAGCGGTTCAGCCACGAGGGCTTTGATGACCATCACTGTATTCAACACGTTATGCTGTAAGGCTTTTTACGCTGTAAGAGGAGAAACGGGAGGAAAAGCGGCGTCTTTAACGGGGTTTGGTTACAGTCAGAGGGATGGTGGCAGAGATGAGCTGCGGGGCGGCTTGTCACCTGGAAGACGGGTGAGTTTTTAAACATTATCTCCGGTAAAACAGAAAAACGTGATCGGKTTTTGCAGAGTGGGGATGCAGCGCCACAGGAAGTGCTACATCTTGATTTTGTTGCTCGTCTGTTTGTGAGTTTTAGACAAAAMCGGATAGCTCGTGTGTACTCGAAGCTTCCTCCTTTTGACAGCGTAAAAACCTGGAAGGTAAATAAAGCAGAAAACYGGTTGGTGTTGTCTCTGAGCTGCACGACATGTTGTGTTGTTAAACTGCGAGGACTCACAATAAAATGAGTCATCATGTTTTCTGAAGAAGAGAAAGTTGTAAAGACGCTGAAGTTCGCTTCCGATTTGACATTGTGATTAGTTGTAGTTGTAAATCTACAACAATCCACGAAATTTTCAAACACAAACTAATTTAGTTTATGATAAAAACAGATTTATTAAAACTGTATTTGATTTGTGAACCCTGTGAGAGTTCAAGGAAGGTTAAAATATTTCTTATACTGTTAAAAAAATTAATTTCCCTTTGAAAGGGTGCCACATTTATAAGGAACATGCATTTGTGGAAAGAGCAGTAGAGCGGAGTATGTGGTTGTGCACAATGGGTGTAAAAATACATCGATTACATCATATCATCTTGATATGCCCATCTAACACAACCATACAATCCTTTAAATGATAATGTTTGATGGGCATATGCTATTTCTTCATCTGAAATCATTTCATGAAATATTTTGTGATATTGAAAAACATTGTCATCAGCCAAACAAATCAATATTTTGTATTGCGATAAAACTGGTGATTTATATCCGTATTGCGCACATGTAAAATTTACCAAATCTTCTCTGTAAGCAGTTAATTTTGCTRTTGACACTTGTTTTGGGCTTCTGTACCCACAGCTGTTGCCAATCAGGTACCCAGTATACGATTTATTGCTTCATTTCCTTGCTTTGTGTGCTAAGTTTAGTTCATAAACTTGACTGTATTTTACACAGTTTTACTGGTAAAATAAAGTTTCACAAATCACAAACTGTGATTTAAAAGCAAAGTAGTTGTCAAAATGCTAAATTTCCACTCYTTTTGATTTGAACCATTTTCTACGTGTTTCATCTATGAATAAAAATAAACACTAAACATGCATCACTCACTGCCAGCATATAATTTATAATTTATAACAAATACCTGAAATCAGGCAAATCAAGTTTTGTTGCCAACTATTATGAGTTGGAAAAAAGGTGAGGAATATTTGCTGCTTTGCAACACAATTTTCACAAAAACCCTGATGGATTTGTAAGATTAATTCCAAAACAGTCTTAATATGTAGAAATTGTGTGAGAAGCAAAAAAAAAAAAAAAAAAAAAAAAAAAAAAAAAAAAAAAAAGCCAATAAAAATGTGTATTTTGACAACAATGTTTTTAAAGAATCTGGTTTTAGTGTAGAACAATGCGGTCCAGATTTAAATAGCCTTAAGTATTGTATTTTTTGAACTGGACCAACCCTAATGTGGCAGAGGGGCCAAAAACAAATCACTAAATTGTCCTTTCTTGAACTTAAACATAAGTTTCACAAAAAATTCAGTGGAATAGCCTTTTACTAACCTGCCAGGGTTTAAATCAGAAGCTTACTTCAACAACACAAAACCTGTCAGGAGCTTTAATAAAATTCCCTTTGGTCAAAATTTAACATACCGTTTACAGTTTGATATTATTGATCATTTTATAAAACACAACATATGCCTTTTACTTTACTTTTCAAGGTATTTTGTTAAAAACACCCTGCCCGTCAGTCACATCTTTTTGTCATTGTTGATCCACAGACTGGTAAAGTGATACTGATGACTCACTCTCCTCTGAGATAAAACACGATATGCTGCTCAGGTTGAATAGAAAACTCCCCTTCTAGGATAAATAAAAGGCTTGAGTTCATACACATATGGGATAACTTGAATAACAACTTACAAATAGTAATCCTATATAATGAAAAGTAAGTGTCCGGAAAGCGGGAGGTGACCTTAACTGAACAAGGTCCATGATTTTTATGGTAGCAGCCTAACGGACAGTTGCTTATCTTCCACACAGATGTGTCCCGTCTGCGCTGCGTGTTGATGGGAAAGTGTAGCAAACATGAAAATGTTGTGGCCCTTATCTGTCTGCAGAAACAGACCATAAACTGTTAGAGAAACTAACGAGAGCAAAGTGTCTGAGGGCCAAAGCCAAGTTAAAACACTAGCAAGAAAGTGAAAGTAGCAAATTGCTAACTAAAAGTTAAAGGAAGCTAAAAATGGATGAATGAATGAGATAGTTAGCTGGGTCAGATATCTAAGGGAACAATGGTTTTGAAGGAAATTGAGACATTTTGATATATTTTCTATGGGGAAAATATTTGTAAATAATGGTAAATAGTTTTAAAAGTGGTATCACCTATTTCCTGAATGAGCTGAATGTATATGAACGGCTACAATAGCTCAAAATATGAAGAGGAAGTTGGATTGCAAAAACTTACAGAAAAATAATAATAATAAAAAAAAGATAACATAATTTACACAATAAACCTAATCTGGATCTGTTCTATTTATCCATTCATCCATCCAATTTGTCCAGCTTGAATGTCTATAAACACATTTCTGGAACCTCACAGTCAGTTTCTGTTGACAGGAAGTGCTGATTACCATGGCAGCTAACAAGCTCAGCTCAGGTGTGGTGTTGCTGTTTGGCAGAGGAGTGAGTGAGCTGACCTTGAGGAAGAGAAAGACACATTTCCTTCACAGCTGTTTGAAAACAAAGGAAACCACAGCTCCTCGTTGGGACTAATAGATAAAATATCAAGTCAAGTCAAATTTTATTTATATAGCACATTTACAACAACCTCAGTTTACCAAAGTGCTTCACAGCAATCATCACATTTAACTAAGGATAAAACAATACATACATACACGCATGCAGGCACATAAAATTACAATAAAAATTGAAATTTGTTTAAAAAAATGAAAACAATTATAAAATAAGCTGGAAGATACCAAAAAATAGTGATGCTAAGAAAAACCAAAAACATACTTACCGGTAATATAAGTTGCAGCAATTTCCCAGAAACTCAAATCAAACAAAGTTCAAATTTTTCCTTTTAAACATTGTTAAAGGCCAGGGAGAACAGATGCGTTTTCAGTCTGGACTTAAACCATACTAAAAGTGAACGTACGGCCAAAAGGCGGAAATAGTGTACGCCAAAAAAAATTCAGATTTATAAAACCGTGCGTCAGAGTTTGCGCACAAGGTCCCGCCTCAGGTTCTACCCTCTACACGGTCACACTCAACCATAAACAGTCAATGTAAAGTACCTCATGAATGTTAAGATGTATTTAAATCAGTCAGCTGATCAATGCCAACAAAAGCGATTGGTTCAGACACGCTCCGTCTTGTGTCTGGAGGTTGACAGGTGCTGACTGACAGCTGCTCACGTGAACAGATTGTCTGTAACTGACACAGATTTTCCCTCATTTTGCTTTAGAGTAATCTAACGATTTTTATAAAAAAACTTAGCTTCAAATTAATTTTCTCTCAGAGCCTGCAGGACGATAAAAACAATAAAAATTAAATAAGTCAGATAAAATTAGAAATAAGTCCATTGCTCTTCTCCCTGTCTTCTCCCACTCCTGCCTGCTCTGTTATTGGGGGCACACACACACACACACACACACACACACACACACACACACACACATCCCCCCCGCCACACACACACACAGACTTTAAAATGTGAAGTTTTATAACATYCACAMTGGTGAGGGTGGGCGCGCCCTGCGCGTGTATCCAAAGCGTGACTTTTGCTGTCGTGCTGTTGAAATGTCTCTTGTCGGGGAGGGGTCTGTGGGTCAGGGTCATCTGAGGAGGAAGGAGATGAAGGGAGTTGCGCACGGTAGCGTTTATTTAAGATTTAATTTTTTTAAATTTTATTTCAAAGGTCCTCATGGCTCAGCAGCAGAAGCATAAATATTACTGCTAAGAAAGCTAAATAAATAAATAATCTAAGTTTGATTATGAAGAGAAATTAAATATCTGACAGTGATCATGACACAGTGAGGCTCTTAATTCCTCACTTCACCATCTGTGTTGCAGTTTCACATCTCCAAAATGAGCGTACGCATGGGTCAGAGCTGGCGTGAGGCATCGCACATTTTCACGTCAAGTTTGGATTTTATAAATCACAACCTTGGCGTGAAAAATGGCGTACGCAAGTTTCTGGGCTCAAATTGTGCGTACGCAAGCTTTATAAATCCGACCCCTGGTCTTTAACCTGGCTTTAGGGACGGCCAACAAAAGCTGCTCGGCTGACCTCAGTGCTCTGGGTGGGGTGGAGGGCTGCACAAGTTCAGTTAAGTAAGATGGGCCCAAAGAGTTTAAACATTTAAAAACTATCAATAAAACCTTAAATTTTACATGGAAGACAACAGGGAGCCAAAGAAGGGTGCGTAAAATGGGGCTAATAAATTCACGCCTCCTTGCTTTTATCAACAAATGGGCTGCAGCATTTTGCACCCTCTGCAATCACTGTAAAGAACTCTGATCCAGCCCTAAATACAAAGAATTACAATAATCTAAACGCRAAGTGATAAATGCATGAATAGCTCTCTCAAAGTCAAAGGAAGATAAGATTTTATCTTAGCAAGTGTCCTCAATTGGAAGAAACTGGCTTTGATAACGGTGCTAATATGTTTATCAAATTTAAACAGAGGATCCACCATCACACCCAGATTTTTCACAAACGGACGTCAAAATGAGAACAGAGGTCCAATCACGCTGTCATGCCCAGGCAGGGGATTACATTGACCAAACACCAGAATCTCAGTTTTGTCCTTATTTAGATTCATAAAATTAGCTCTCAACCATGCCTGTACTAGCCTGGCTTAAACCAGACCCTGTCCTTCACTTTGCTTCGTACAAGGGTCTGGACTCGCTGCATAGAGAATCGTTTCTTGCAGGAGGCGTGGCCTCTGCTGAAGCATGTTGTGTGTTTTCGGTGTGAAGAAGGCTAAGCTAAGAAGCTAACAGGAAATCGCGTGTGC